GCTGGTGTATCCACCACTCCTCCCAGTTCTGTGTCACCAGCAAACTTGCTGAGGGTACGTTCTAACTCTTCATCCAGGTTGTTGATGAAGAAGTTAAACAAGACTGGGCCCAGTACGGACCCCTGGGGACACCACTAGTTACCAGCCACGTTCCTTGCGTGGGAAGTAGTCTGGCCGCACCGGGGTACTCAGAGCTCGCCCATGGAGGTCCAGCCACCTCGCTCTGAGGAGCTCCGTGCCGCCTGGCTGTTTTGTACAGCTGGGGTCAGCTTCCCAGGCTACTTCACTTCACGGTCCTTAGGTCAGTGAGACAGGCAAAGTCCTGCCAAAGTCTCTCAGTTTCATTTTTAAAAAAAAAAAAACGCTTCTCTTTCCACTATCATCTGGCAGACTTCACGACAATAGCCCCAGCTTTTGAGCGCTCACGTTCCAAGGGACAGTCGCCCAGCACATTTCAAACACGAGAGAAAATTCTTCCTGATGGGAAGATAGAGACCACAGACTAACAAAATCATCTCTGCAGGCTGGAGAGAAGTGCAGCTCAGGCTGTACGGAGGGACCACGCAGAGTGTACCAAGCCCGTACAAACGCTGCAGTGGTTTCCCTGCCGTACTCGGCCTTCATCAGGCCATGAGCCTCCACTCGCAGGGACTTGGCAGAGAGGTGCTTTACTCCGGGAAACACTAGAGCTCTCGTGACGTACTCAGCAGGCTGCACATCGACAAGCTATTCTACATCCAAACAAATAAAAAGCTCTCTGAGGGTGCTTATGTAGAACGGAGCGAGGCTCCTGAAATGGCCACGAATGAGAGCGGAATGTGGTTCAGTCTGAGGGGTCTCCAGCTGGGCAGGGCGGCTCCGATCCAACACCAGAAGCTTTCCAGTTCAGTTCAAATTCAATCCGAACGTTCAGACAGCTCAAACGTAGCTCAGGCGGGGAGTGGCAGCGATACCAAGCAGGGCATGGGACCTCTGCGCGTTCCTACGAGAGGTGCTCGCATTGCGAAAGCGGCAGAAGGTTTGCACAGACACGTCACGAAGCAGGTTCAGTGCTGTCCTCCCCTCCCTTTCTGGCAGCAACAACCAGCGGCGGTTCGAAAATCTCAGCCCCTCCTTAGAGTGGGGATGGCAGGAGGCACCGGGGAACGGGCTGTGCAAAGCCAGCGAGAGCTGGGGTCGGGGTGATCGATGGCCAGCTCCACTCGCTTCCCCTTCCCAGCAGCGCTTCCTCCAGCCGGGGAGATAAGGAGGGGGAGAACGATGCCACCGGAGGCCTGAGGGTGCGATTAACGTCCAGGAAAGCCTGCGTGGGAGGCGAGGGCAAATCCGAGGGGGACTGGAGGAGGCAGGCTCATTTCCCCCTCAGCCTTGTCCCTTCCTGGCATTCTCTTCTGTTTGCTTCTCTCCCTTTCCTTGGGGCCTGACCCTGGGAATGCAATCATAGCCGAGATATTCTCTGTTCAGGACATCAGGGGTCTCTGGCCTTTTCGCCGGCTTTGGCGAGTTGCAGAGAGCTGGCCCGAGTCTCCCTGCCCACGTGGTGTGGGTGACAAACCCCCTCTTCTTCGCAGGCACGCACAAACACTCAGTGGGCCTTTGGTGGAAGTCTCAGAGGTGGAAAATGCATTATTTTCCCTTTTCGGAGGCAAGTGAGCCCAGTTTCAGTTCTGTACTGGCCTTTACCATTCTCTCGCCGTCTCTCCCCCACCAAACCGATGTCTCCGGCGTGTAACTCTGGGGATGCCACCAGGTTAAAGCAACAGAGCTGTGCAGCAATAGATCAGTGCGACACAGACTGAAGGAGAGGACAGAAGGACACAAGGATCTGCCTACGCCACGCCAGCCTACAGCGGCAGTCAGCACCTGGGGCTTCCCAAGATGAAAGGCCGAGCGCAGAGTGCTACATCCTGCTTCCAGCAGTCATGCCCATACGAATAAAGGCAAGCAGCCCAGGGAGCATCTTGCCAGTGTGAGACCTTCCAGGCCTTCCTCGCTTGGGGAACAGAACCTGGAATCTCCCGTGGTCCTCTTGAGTCCGACTGCATGGTAAACCACGCTCCCATCTGAGGAGGCCGGTAACTAGTTGTGTCCCCCAGGGGTCAGTACTGGGCCCAGTCTTGTTTAACTTCTTCATCATTGACCTGGATGAAGAGTTAGAATGTACCCTCAGCAAGTTTGCTGATGACACAAAGCTGGGAGGGGTGGTGGATACACCAGCAGGCTGTGCTGCCGTTCAGCGTGACCTGGACAGGCTGGAGAGTTGGGCAGAGAGGAACCTGATGAGGTTCAACAAGGGCAAGTGCAGGGTCCTGC